AATGATAAAAAGAGAAAAAGTAACAAAGTTTCTAGGAATCTATATTGATGAAAATTTAACTTGGAAACATCACATTAACATTATCTCTTCTAGAGTTTCCAAATGCATCGGTATTCTTTATAAAGCTAGAAACATACTAAATAAACGGCAGCTGACTCAATTGTACTATTCCTTTGTTCACTGTCATATAAACTATGCAAATATTATATGGGGAAGCACTCAAAAGACAAAACTTAAAACTCTTTTTAATTATCAGAAACACGCAGTTCGCGCAATTAATTTTAAAAATCGTCTTACTCACTCTGCGCCACTTCTTAAAGATATGAAAGCTTTGAATGTTTATCAACTTAATATTTTTAATATTTTATGCTTTATGTTCAAGTGTAAAGAAAATTTATCTCCACAGGTATTTCAATATCTTTATTCTTTAAAACCGAAAAACCAATATAATTTACGAATTGACAACAATCTTAATGCTCCCTTTTGCAAAACTAAATACGACGAATTTTGTATGTCCTATCGTGGACCTCTTCTTTGGAACAAACTAGTTTTACCTAATTTTGATTTTTCAATCAAACTAAACTACTCCTCATTCAAAACCAAAATTAAAGAAATTATCTTTTCAATTGAAAACATCTTTATCTATTTTTGAGTTTTTATCAATTTATTGCTGATATATTATACTTTATTGTATTATGTTTTACTATTTACGAATATTTCCATGAGTTCTTTGCAAACTTATGTATTTAATGGTTTGTATTTTATTACTTTTTATTACTGTGTTTTGTTAAACTTCATATTATTTTTGTAATTTTACGAATTTTTATAACTTCATTATAATATTATTTATATTATATTATACTCGATACTAAAAAGCATTGTAAATGGTTTCATGATAAGATCCTCATGATCTTCTAGAAGTCCTGCCGCTAAATTTGTAATATGTTAAAATTTGTATTATTAATAAAATTATTTGGCAAAAAAAACAAAAAAAAAACAACAATAAAGTTTAACTTTATTGAATGTTATTTACTTATATTTACAATAACAAAGAAATTAATTACATAAAATAAATAAATATCACGAAAATATTTTGACAACCCATGACCACACCTATCTGTGCGGTTATAAATTTTTTTTTCTTTAGTACCTTTTTTTAAAATACTTTGTAAAACAAAAAAAACGATAACAACTGCCTAAAATGTTTTTTGATTCATTGCTTATAATTTCAATAGTTAAAGTTTATTTATCGCCATCAGAAACACTTAAATCATTCCTAACATTATAAATAATGCTTTCATTCGCACATGTAAGGACTTCTCCACCGCGTTTATTTACTTGGCTTTGTACAGTGGGCCAGTAGGCGGACAAAATGGGAAAAGTTTTAGTTGCCTAATCTTAAAAATATATTTAATTTTGATACCTGTATATATTAGGAGAAATTTATTGATAATTTATTTTTATTAAATCCCTTAGTTACCAGGACTCTGAGCATTTGAATATTGAAATTAATATATATATATATATATATATATATATATATATATATATATATATATATATATATATATATATATATATATATATATATATATATATATATATATATATATATATATATATATATATATATATATATATATATATATTTGGGGTGGTAAACGATTAATCTATTATTCGATTAAAAATCATTAATCATTAATCGATTAATTAACAAACGATTAATCGATTAATTTTTTTTTTTTAATAAAACAACTTTGCGTTATTTTGTTCCAAAGATTTTTACGAACATTTACAAGCGTTTTTTTAAAGAACAAGACTTGTGTTGACTTTTATCCGGCATCTGGTCAAATATAATTATAAACAAACAAAAACAATGCTTTTTTTTTTTTTATAGTGCGGCTGCTTGACCACCATTTACAATGTTGTTTGGAAAAAACCGCTCTGAAATTTGGAAACATTTTTTATTGGAAAAAAAAGACAAATCAACATACAAGTGCAAACATTGTTCAGTCGAACTTAAATTCCATTCATCAACTTCAAGTTTCTTGTATCATTTAGAGCACAAACATAAAATTTTTTTGACAAAAGTTCTTTCAGAGAAGTCTAAAAATATACAGCCAAGTATTGCTGCTTATTGTAATAATATGGGTAGCAAAGCTGAAGATGTATTAGCACGATTAACTGCTGTTGATTGTATCCCTTTTGCAACTTTGGCTAATAGCAAAGATATTAAAAATGGCAGGAAAGCTCAAGGACTTAAAATCCCTGATGATCGACATGCTATAAAGACAATTGTTATGAACTACGCAAACTCAATGAAGTTAAAAGTTGTTCAAGAACTTCAGCATTTGTTTAATTAAAATTAAAAGGAGAAAGGTTTTCAATTTCCCTTGATGAGTGGACTTCAGGTAAAACTAGGAGGTATTTATGTCTTAATGTACATTGTTCAGACAAATGTCACTATGGTTTTTGAATGATTAGAATAAAAGGTTCGTTGCTTTCAGAAAGAACTGTTAATATTTTTATTGAAAAATTAAATGAATTTGGCTTGAATTTGATTAATGATACTTTTGGATGTGTTACTGACGGTGCATCAGTAAGGAAAAAAATAGGATGAGAAATGGGAGTTACACACCAACTTTGCTACTGCCATGGAATTCATCTTGCTGTATGTGATATTCTTTATAAGAAAAAATGCTTAGAAATAGAAACAACTCAAGAAGAAATAGTTAGTTAGAATGAAAATGAAACATCTGATTCCATCCCTGATGCTGAAAACGACACTGAAGAATGCTGGAATGAGGAAAGTATTAGCTCTGTTACACAGGAAATTCAGTCTAATGAAGACTATGGCATTATCATATAGAAGGTTCGTAAAATAGTCAAACTTTTTAGAAAGTCTCCACTTAAAAACGATTCCCTTTAAAACATTTGTAGAACAGATTTAGGAAAATAACTTAAGCCTATTTTGGATACTAAAACAAGATGGAATTCTTTAATAGTATGTTAAAACGATTCTTAAATTTAAAAAATGTTACTGCAAAGGCTCTTGTTGATATATCTAGAACAGATTTAATTTTAAAAGAAGAAGAAATAAAAGATATTTCTGATATTGTTCAGGGTCTACATGTTGTAGAGTTAAGTGTTATGGAACTAGGAAAAAAAACTGTGATCTGATAAAATCTGATAAAATTATTTTGTTTTTACAACAAAATCTTAAAGAACAAAATACTAACATTGGTCAAAATTTATTTACTGTTGTCTTGGAGAGAATTGTCAAAAGAAGAAATTGTAATATTGCTGGTTTACTGTGCTTTTTAAATAACTTTTTAAATAAAATTTAAATACTGTGCTTTTTAAATAACTATAAATCAGACTCAGAATTTCCGGATAATCTTTTGAAAAACCCACATAAAAATAAAATTTCTAAAACTGCTAGAGAAATATACCTACGTTTATTTCTGCACGAGGAAGTAGAAGCAGCATATGAGTCTGAGTTAGAGTCTATTTGTAATACAGAACTATTAAGAAAAAAACTAATGCTGAAGAATTAGCAGAAATAATACCTAATACAACTTCAGCAGCAGGAAAAACTAAAAGGCTAACTTGTAAGTCTTCCCCTCAAGAAGTTTTGACTTGCATTAAACGTGCAGCTGGTTTATTTGTTACTAATTTAGGAACTAGCTTAAATGAAGTTTTAGTGCAGCTGGTTTATTTGTTACTAATTTAAGAACTAGCTTAAATGATGACACTGTTAATAATTTATATTTTTTAAGATCATATCTGACGAAAAGAGAGATAAAATCATAAAAAATATAAATTACTTTTTATTAAGTTATAAACACATTTTTCCTAAAATTAATCGAAAATTAATCAATTAATTTTTTGAAATTTAATCGTAAATCGATTAATGTAAAATACCGATTAATCTACTACCCCTAATATATATATATATATATATATATATATATATATATATATATATTATTTATATATATATATATATATATATATATATATATATATATATATATATATATATATATATATATATATATATATATATATATATATATATATATATATATATATATTTATATATATATATATATATATATATATATATATATATATATATATATATATATATATATATATATAATATATATATATATATATATATATATATATATATATATATATATATATATATATATATAATATATATATATATATATATATATATATATATATATATATATATATATATATATATATATATATATATATATATATATATATATATATATATATATATATATATAGGGCCGCCGAGAGGCGGGCAAAGGGGGCATACGTGCCCCGGGTGCCAAGATTATAGGGGTGCCAAAAAATGATATATATATTTTTTTAAAGTGTCTATACGATGTTTAACTTTTAATTTAAATGTTGTGTGATTTTATAAGATGTTTTTATAGTATAATATCATGAAATAAATAAAAAGTTTATTTAATTTACAACTTTAGTTTTCATGTTTACGGTTATTATGTTTAGTGCAGTGAGTTTGCTTTCAGACAGAACTTTTTTTGTATATATGCATATTATGAAAGTGACGACGTATTACATTTCGGCATTAAATCTCATTAAAGTATTAACGTGCATATTTCAACACTGTTCTCCAAATTGACCGCCAGGTTGAAACTCTCCCCACTTTAAATTTTTTTGCATTTAATTAATCATATGCATTAGCAAACACAATTTAAGTTGTCAGAAAAATCTGAACTAAGTGCTAAGTATGTATTTTTTTAAAGTTAAAACTTATAATTTTTTTCTTTTTTTTTTCGTAAGTTTAATTAAAGTCAGCCATTATGGTAGTCAAATAAGCTATTTATGGCAATGATATAACTGAATTACGGATATGATATAATTTGATATGATATAATTGAAATGAATGATATAATTGAAATCACTTTTCAACATGGCGTCAGACTTCAAATTATGTACTTGTGCAGTTTGCTTGATAAATAAAGGTATCAGATCAAAATCTTTAACACCTATAACACCTAATGTTATCAACTTTTTTGAAAATTATCTTAGTGATCGGAAACAACGAGTAATTTCTTCTCAACTTGTAACAGATTGGAAACCGGTAACACGAGGAGTTCCGCAAGGTGGAGGTTTAAGTCCACTAGCCTACAATATATATGGACGAGAACTTCCAACTTGTACTAAATCAGTAACTCACCAGTTTGCAGATGACACAACCATATCTGATGCTAATAAATCACCTCAGGTTGTTATAGAGAGGCTCTCAGACAGTTTCAACAATGTCAAGAAATGGTGTGATGAAAAACAATTAATAATTAATGCTGAAAAAACACAATTTATCATCTTTAAAAGCCCAAGTAGAAAACTGCCAGATGAATATCACATTATTTTGGGTGGAGTTTTGATTAAACCATCGACAACAGTTAAACTTCTTGGTGTACTAGTTGATCAACATCTAGCATATGGTTGCCATATGGATGCGATTAAAAAGAAATGTAAAGGTCTGCTTGGTTTACTTGCAAGATCAGCTAATGAACTTCCTCAGGAGCTCTTGAAATTGGCCTACACTTCAATCATACGCTCTCAACTTGAATATTGTAGTGCAGTTTTTGCTCCAGCAGCAAACATTCATCTTCATAAATTTGATGTTATTCAGAAAATAGCTTCAAGAATTATTACCAGAGCACCGAGTAATGCTCACTCCTCACCGTTGCAGGAAAAACTTAGATTGTAAAGTCTTAAAACCAGTTGAAACAATCATATCATCAATATGATTAATAAAATGATTATGGGAAAAAGTCATCCTGCATTTTCTAATATGTTTTTTAATACTGAGGGAGGACTTTTGTGTAGTCGTGATGATAGAGCTTCCAGAATCAAGATTGGTGACAAAAGATTCAGCAGATATGCAGTAAGCATATTCAATGAAATGAACACATGATTGTATGTGTTCTAGTTGAGCGCATTAACATGGGCCGGCTATCACAAGAATATATATAAAGAACACACTAGCTACAAAGATTACTAAATTATTGGATATGATGAACTGAACAGTGCTTCTGACATGGTTGCTCAAGCGTTATCAACTCTAAATAATAGATCAACAACAACAACAAGTGCGCGAAAAAATTCAAGAATACATCTGGCCAAACTTTGATTCTGATCTTGAAATTTGTCCTTCTGTAATTTGTTCCAACTGCAGAAGAAACTTATTTAGTCTAAACAAAGGGGAGACTGCATATCTTTCCAACTGGTTAGAGACTATATCAAAGGTACTTTAATGTGGATGAATTGCTACTTTTTGTGTTTGTGTGGTTGTCTATATATATTATAAGTATACACACACACTCATATATATATATATATATATATATATATATATATATATATATATATATATATATATATATATATACATATATATATATATATATATATATATATATATATATATATATATATATATATATATATATATATATATATATATATATATATATATATATATATATATATATAAAATAAAAATCATGTAGTTTTAATGAATAAATGTATTAGCACTGATTTAATTTATAAAGCACATTTGTATTTTAGATAAATAGAAATACTATTAGGAGAACCTCTTCACCAGACAGATGTTGAGCCAGAATTGAATTTTTCAAGTGTGAATAAGAAAATCTGTGGGCTCTGCTATTTGAATCTTGGTATGTTAATACTATGATTTTATAATTTAAATAAGATTAATTGAAGTTTGATTCTCTTTATGTTACATTATGGTTTGATTCAATGTATTATTGTTTTTTACGTAATTTCAAGCTACTGTTAAAATAGTTTTTTAATTTCTCACTATTACTTTTAGGTAGAGGAATTTCTCATGATTGTTGCAAAAGTAAAGCTGTTAACAATATAATTGATATTAGTGAATCGCTTGGATATAAAGGTGCAGAGCAAGTAGCATCTGGATTGTTAAAACGTAAAATGGAACGTGAAAACATTGTAAGTGGAGAGCAGTTTGTGTTGTCTACTGGTGGAAATCTTCTCTCTGTTACAGTTGGAGTAAATGAAAATAAGTCGAAAAGAAAGAAAGTAAATCAAGTTTCATTCCAAACTATTATGGAGTTATTGAATGTATTAGAACTCTCTAAGAACAAAACTAAAAAACTGTGTTCTACTTTACGCAGTAATCTAACTGGTGTAGAATCAAACATTAATATTAAAATGACTGAATTACAGGATACTCTAGAAACTTTATATGAATGTAAAACTGAAGAATTCCTTGACGGTGATGAAATAGTTGTTAGAGATATAGTTTATGTCAAGAATACAACTGAATTTATCAAATTTATAATTGATGAAAGAGGTATTGATACCCCTAATGCAATAGCAAGAATATCTATAGATGGTGGTCAAAACTTCCTTAAAGTTTTTATTAATGTTTTTGATCCAAAAAATCATTATTCTTCATCCGAAATGTATGAAGATTCTGGTGTGAAACGTTGTTTTATCCTTGCGATTGTGGAGATGGTTTCAGAGGATAATGGCAATCTCCAAAAATTATTGGAACCTTTGAAACTCGAAAAAGTAGATTTTAGTTTAGCATTTGATTTAAAATGTGCAAACAGTGTTTTTGGACTTTCAAGTCATTCTGGCAAATATGCTTGTCTTTATTGTGAAGGAGAATGCTTCCTCAAAGCAGGGAAACTAAGAACATTGGGTTCCATAGACTTATGTTATGATCAATATGTATGTGAAGGAAAAAAAAGACTAAAAATGCAGGATTACAAAAATGTTATAAATCCTCGTTTAATATACTTAAAAGAAAATCAAGAAACAATTCTTGAACACATTGTTCCTCCTCCTGAGCTCCATATTATGATGGGAGTTGTGGATAAACTTTGCACTATGCTTTTATGCGTTTGGCCACCTTTTCAAAATTGGTTAAAAACACATTACATATTAATGAGAGGATACCATGGAGTAGGTTTAGATGGAAACAATGCTAATAAATTTATGTCCTTGTTAGATGTTTTGGAGAGGGATGTTACCTTAACTGCAACGATTGATATTTCACCAATAATTAATTGTTTGCGTAAGTTTTCATTAGTAAAATCAGCAGTGTTTGGTTTAGAAATAGGTGCAGATATTTCTGCTAAAATCGAAGACTTCAAATGTTCTTTTTCAAGTCTCCAATTATATGCAAAAGATATTTTCGACTATGATTTGAAAGTTTCCTGGAAAATACATATTTTAGTGTGTCATATTCTTCCCTTTATAGGACACAATAATATTAGCTTAGGAAACTATGGAGAACAATGTGGTGAAGCTGTTCACCACAAATTTAAAAAAACTTGGGTGAACTATAAAAGAACTATAGGTCACAAAAATTATGGAAAAAAGCTAAAATCTGCTGTAGTTAATTTTAATTTAAATAATCAGTAGCATTAATATAATATGTGTTATATATTTATTTGTTATATGTGTTTTTTGTAAACGAAGTTAATAAATGTTGATGGTTTATTTTGACCACCATAATGGCTGACTTAAATCAAAAAGCGAAAAATTATAAGTTATAATTTTGAAAAATATGTACTTAGCACTTAGTTCAGATTTTTCTGACAACTTAAATTGTGTTTACTAATGCATATGATTAATTAAATGCAAAAAAATCAGGAGTGGGGAGAGTTTTAACCTGGCGGTCAATTTGGAGAACAGTGTCAATGTCAATCTATGCAATTCCATCTCAAATGTCAAACCTGCTTATTTAAAGGTGAAGTAAGAAAAGAAAAGAAAAAAAAAAAAGGAATAAATTGAAAAATTATTTTATAGATATAAAAATTAAAAAAATTAAATGTAAAACATAGTTAAAAGATTTAAATAAGTATAGATTAAAAAAACAAAAACAAATAAAAACATAACACAAGCTAAAAGAAAAAAATGTTCGAAAATAGTAAATAAAAAATGTACGGCAATCAAACAAACTTTAGAGTCTGAGGTAGCGAGGTGGCGTGAAATATTGCGCTGTGTTTTAATGTAACATTGTTTCTCTCATCATGAAACATGGTGTTTAGAGGTAAACTTTATTTTTACTTAGCTATTGATATTTATTGCATAAACAATATTTTTTACAGATTCTTGTGTTATTAACCGGTCAAACATCTGCTCTTGGAGAGCAAGAAAGTAGCAATTTTCTAGGAGCTATAGACATGATTTCAAACTACAACAAAACTTTAAAAATCCATCTAGAAAACTTAGCTCGTCACCAAAAAGAGGGAACTCAAATGCAGGCACACTACCTCTTACGGGAATCACAGAATGAGTTCATACGTGAGTGTACTTCATTGGTTCAGCGTGACCTTTTAAAGGAAGTAAGAGAAGCTGGATATTTTACAGTCATTATCGATGGAACCTCAGACGTTTCACACACTAAACTGATCACTTTTATTCTTCGCTTTGTTCATTTCAGCTTCAACAAAAAAAGCTGAGAGATAAAAGAGCGCTTTCTTTGCGTTGAAGACACGGAGAAAAAAAAGGAGTGGATGTTGCAAAACTATTTTGTGATGTTTTAATAAAAGTAAGTCTTGACTTGCAGAAATGCCGTGGCCAAGGTTACGAGAACGGCTCAAATATGGCTGGAATTTACGTTGGAGCTCAAGCTTTAATTTTACAGAAAAATCCGTTAGCTTTCTACATTCATTGTGGTGCCCATAGTCTTAATTTAGCTGGAGTGCATGTTGTTGAATGCAGTGCATGCAGTTAAATCTTGTGCTGAGATTAAAACTTTCTTTAGTAATATCAAAGTTCTCTACGTGTTTTTCAGCTGCAGTCCAGCAAGGTGGAAGTTTTTGGAAGAATTGTCTGGAATTTCTCTTCTCAAGCTTTCCGATACCAGGTGGTCAGCTCGGATTGCCGCTGTTAAGCCAATAGCAAAACGACCACGGGAAATAGTTAC